GGTTGTTGGAGAAGAGTTGGTGTGCAGTGCACGCCCATGCTCAGCGTCTTACCACTCTTGCCCAACTCTGTCTCTAGGGTAGAATCAAATCCCTGATTGCTATATCTGAGCTTATGTCTCTGATCCTCAGTGAGACCACTGTCTTAGTCCAGTTGTGCGGCTATAATGAAAGATCTGAGACTGGGTAATCTGTAAAGAAGAGAAATGTATCTTCTTATAGTTCTGGTGGCTGGGAAGTCCAAGATCAAGGTACCAGCGGGCAAGTGCCCAGTCTCTGCTTCTAAAATGGCACCTATTGCTGCATCCTCCGGAGGGAAGGAGTGCTGTGTCCTCACATGGCAGAAGGGCCCAAAGGGGTGAAAAGAGGCAGACTCCCTCCTTCAAGCCCTTTTGTATGGGCACCTAATCCCATTCATGAGGGCAGAGCCTTCATGACTTAATCACCTCTAAAGACTTCACCTCCCAGTACTGCTGCATTGAGGATTAAGTTTCAACCTGAATTTTGGAGGGAACAAAAACATTCAAACCATAACAGCCAGATATTTCCAGTTCTTCTACTCCACAAGTGTAGCCCCGTTGGGATTATACAGGAAGATCCACTGGCAGCAATATAACTCTAGAACTCCTTCCCCATGTTCCTGACATGGAAATGGCAAAGAATTGTTGGATCTAGCAGTGATGAAGGGGAAATGATTACTGTCTTTTCTGTCTCCACTATTCCCAGGTATTCCAGCTCTTTCTCACCCTCCAATTCTCTTCTTGTTGGGTTGATATTACAGTGGGGGTTTAATCCTGGATAGGTTGATAGTGCATAGGGAATCCTGATAGTTAAAGAGGGTTAGGCACAGCCTGCTCTATGCTTGAAATTGACCCTAATAGTTATTTCCTGCTTCTAACCCTTTTCTCCCAACCCCACCTAATACTATCCATCTGGTCAAGGGTGACTAGGGACCCTCCCCAACCCTTATCGCTCTCTGAACAAGACGCTTACATTTTGATGAAATTACATTTCATTAAAACATACATATCCTTTGTTTCATTTTCTTACATCATTTCATCCTGCTTTCCAGAGAGCTCCCTACTATGACAAATTCCTTAGGATGATATCTAGGTCCAGCAGTAGTGGCCCAGGTGGGAAAAGAAGAACAATTATTGAGAGGTACCAAGGAAGTAGGTACAAAAGCAGAGCCATGAATTAAGTCTAAAGGCCAAGCTAAGAGCAGAAGAGAGAGGAATGAATAGCAGGATTAGCAGTTAGGAGAATCAAAACCAGGGTGAACCAGAATTAAGTGGACAATGTGTGGTGATGAACTGAGACAAACTCCTGCTTTCTTCTATCAGGAAAGAGACTTGAGGATTGGAAATTATGTAACAGGAGCTGGTATCTACCATCCTGGATGGCTCAGGCACAGCTGCTCACGGTTAATGTGATGGCTCGTGTAATGTAAGCCAGGCTGAGGAAGGGGTCAAAAGTTGTTTAGCACAGTAGTTCAAGGGTAATTTTTCTGCAAGGAGCAAGGTCAAAGACACATTAAAGGAAATCCTCTATTCTCCTCAGATGAGGTCAGATAGAGGGAAAAATAGCCCTTACATTAGTGTTAGTGTTTTTGTTTCTAAGATAACTAGTAAAGAAACTAGATCAGCAGGCTGAAATTAGAGCACTCATCATTTCCATATCTCTTAAAAATAGAAAAAAAAAAAACCCTTTAGTAGGACTAGCATCCTACTAAACTTAAGGCTGAGTTTGCAAAGCAAAGGAGGAGAAGACATCTTCCTTAGGTGCAGCAGGGGTAGTTTCTAGAAAGACGTGTATGGGATATAGATTTGGGGGCTTGAAAGAGGGGGATGCAAGGGTTCATCCAAGTGGGATAGATTTCTTCTGAAGACCTAGGCCTCCTTTCCTTGGGTGATAAAATGGAACAAGCAAGATAGGAAGAGTTATTCTACATCATGCTGGACTGAGAGATCTACCTCACCCTTTGGCAAAAGAACTCAGAAAATGTTATATCTGGAAAGACTGGTGAGGCAGGAAGTATATAAGGAAAAGGCAAGGCTTCTACATTACAAAGCTGCAGGGGGTACCACACACATGGGATTCAACGTAGAGGACTCCTTCTGGAATTTGGCAACATGGCACCCCTGAGTACGGGAGAACATTTGCTTCCTGTTCAGCCTTGGGGTGTGTGACCACTTGCTGGTCTTGTCTGCCTAGGAATGTTTCTCATTCTTTTAGCTAAGAATGCTGTTTTTCCCCTGAGAACTCTCCCTTTCCCCACTTTACTACCAATTCCATGAAGTCTTCCTGGGATTCTCTAGTGGGGATTCAAGCTAGCCAATCTCTCCTTAAAATCTGAACTGTAAGTAGAATTACACAAGGCCAGAAATTGCTGGAGCTGATGCATTTTACAGTAGCTCCCTGAGAAGACTGTTTATCACTTCCAGCGCCACTCCTAGCACTTTGTGATGCTTAGAAAAGACATGGAGCTCAGGGAATTGAAGCATCTTTCAGCAAAGAAAAAGTCACCCTTTCTCCAGGCAGACAAAACCCCCTACAGAGAGGCAAGGCTTGGTGAGCAGAGAACAAACTAAATCCACCCTAATTTACCTGGTCAGACAGATGCCCTGATGACCCTGAAACCCCTATATCCTTTCCTCTACTTTTGGAAGCCTAGTCGTTCAGATTTTCTTTCAATTCTCTTACTGCCCCATACCCTTCAGCTTAAGTTAGCCAGAGTATGTTTCTGTTGCTTACTATAAAATAACCCCTAAGAGATACATAGCAGTAATATGGTGGAGACAGAGCTGAGGGAGCGCCAGCCCTCACTGTGAATTATTCAACTGAAGCAACACTGGGGATACTTATGGGACATCAGTGGCCCAAATAATAACTGAGTCATGGGGAATTACAAAAGTCAATTCCCTGATGTTTTTTCTCATAGACTGACATACACACAGACATACATACAGGTGTGCGCGCACACACACACACACACACACACACCCCTCTTCAAGACAGAAGAGGAGGGATCCTGTCACTCAGATTACATTTAGCCTTCTGTACCTATTAAGGGGGCAGGTGAGGGAGGGGATAAAAAGGAACTGTGCCAGATGGTTTATGTCAGCCCAGATGATTTCAAATCTCCTAAGATTCGTTCTTGTTCTACCATTTAAAATCATTTAATTTAATTAATTTATTTATTTCCATTATGAGGTAGTGAGTTCCACTGGATTGATGGGTTTCTCCTTCACCCATGACATATTTGCACCATATCAGAGCACTTTGGAAGCTCAATCTTCACTAAGCCAGCAATTTTTTTTTCTTTTCTACATATTTTTCTGTTTCTAACACCTCTCCCTGCTTGTCTATCTTCCTTCCCTCTTGATAGTCAATATAAGAGGAAGGAGGAAGTATAATATTGAAATGGGAGAGCTCACTGGCCCCCCAACAGGATGTGCAACAGGGGTGTAACTCATCTGTTTAGCTGCTGTGCATGCTCAAACACTTTATGGGAGAAGAAGCATGTAGATGAGCAGGTGCAGGAGCTGGGGAGAGTGCTTATGGGCTCCAGCCCCATGGTAGCATCTGGGGTGGGTGCCTGTGACTTCCAAATCCCCAGTGGGAGTGTGACAGTGCTCTTTTAGCAGTTACCATCTGCAGATAGCTTAAGTGTTAACCAGCTCAGTGCCCTCTTGGTATGCAGGTTCTTGTCTCATGTCCAGGATGAATCAGGTCACATGGACAAATTGAAGGATGGTAAATGGGGAAGATTTTATTGCTGGATGGAGGTGGCTCTCAGCAGGATTGATGGGGAGCTAGAAAGAGGATAGAGTGGGAAGATGATCTTCCCCTGGAGTTTGGTGGTCCCATGGCTGATCTCCTCTCTAACCATCCCCAGTCGAACTCCTCTCGATGTTCAGACACTCTTTTTCTTCTCTCCTTCTCTGCTGTACCTCTCTGCTGCCCTGCTGCTCTGCCCTTCTGTTCATCTGCTTGTGGAACCTGGGGTTTGGGGATTATATGGGTACAGGATGGGTGGCGTGGTGGGCTAAAAGGCCACATTTTGGCACAAAAACAGGAATGCCTGTTCTCATTTAGGGCCTTGGGTTTCCAGGCTTGAAGGTGGGGCCTTTGGCGGGGAACCACCCTCTTCTACCCAGCATTTCCCCACCTCCTGTCACATCACCCTGTGGCTTTGGAGATAATAAATCCAAATTTAAATATCAATTTGCGTTTACTAGCTATATGACCCCAGATAAATAACTTACCCTTTTGAGCATGTTTTTCCCTATCTACAAAGAGGCATAATATCTGGAGTGGGCATTTATTGTTTTTGCTAGCCGGCATCTATTCCTCTTCCTCTTTCTTCTGTAACAGGAACCACATTTTCTGCTGAGAATCCCTCCGCTGGCCTGGAGGCCTAATGCTTTGCAAAGGAGGAAATATTAGTGCCTACCCTTTCTCTCTGGAGATGGACATGTGACTCAGGCATGACCCTATTAGGCCACTGTGTCTCCCAGTAAAGGAGTGGGTTCATGAGTGACCATGTGACCCAGTCTAGGCCAGTGGAAATCATGGCCAAGACCTGGATTCAAATCATTCAGAAAGACTTAGGCCTGGAGCTGCTGAGAGCTACTGAGTTGAGGAAGGTTGTCAGAGTGACTCCTAATAAGAAAAAGCAGAGCTGAGAGAGAGACACAATGTCCTGATGACATCATTTGTTCAGTTCAATCCAGAAGGACTTGACACCAAAAGTTCCCTGGATTTGGATGCTTTTAGTTATATGAGTCAATACCCGACTCTCCTTTTCTGTTAGCCTGTTGGAATTAGGCTTTTGCATACTTGCACCTGAGAGTCCTGACTGATATGATACTATTTACCTTTCATTGCTGTGATAAGGGTGAGAATTTAAATATGAACAATGTCTAGAATATGGTAGATGGTCAATAAATGGTAGCCTTTGTTATTTCCATTGTTTTTATTGCTGCCATTATTTTCACAGGTGATCCAGAGTCCTACCTGTCTCCTCTCTCATCTCTTCAACCAAACTTTCCTGAGCAACTCTGATGCCAGGCATTTCTAGCACTGTGACAGAACCTGAGGACAGAGGGCCCTGCTTCAAAGGTAACCACCTGCCTCCTTCTGCTATCACAGGGCTGACCTCAGTGCAGCAGAGGGCAGAGCTTGGAGGCAGCTGCTGAGAATTTGCACTCTAAAGACATCCACCTAAATCACAAGCTTTATATCTGGGCAGTCAGCCAGACCTCCTGACCATATCCTGGACTGCGGACTTTGGATGGTGGAACGGGGGTGGAATTGAACATTAAATGAGCAACATGCTAATTCCATGCAAATGAATATCTATTTTGAATCAACAGCTTGGACACTTTTTCTAGGAGGGCTGAGGCAGCAGGAATCTAAAGAGAGGATGAGAGGGGGAGGGGTTTCTCTCAGAGGCAGCAGAGAGTGCAAGGGGGGCTCCAGGCTGAGTGGAGCCACCTCCTGCCCACAGTTCCTAATGCTATTTGATTGGCTCATTAGCAAGTATGAAACACGGGGAGTCAAAAAAAAAGAATAAAGAAAAAAACCCCAACTCTGGAAAGAATAAACTAACAGATGGAGACTTAATTCAATTTGCATCCAACCTACCCTAGCACCAGGGACTTTGTTTGCTTAACAATGGAGACCCTGGGGGTGGGGAGGGGTCCCTCCTGCAGGAGGGCTGATGGGAATGATCCCAGATCATCTCTTCCATGCTGCTCTTATCTCTTCCTGGGGGCCAGATGGGTATTCTTGTTTTAAAGCTCCTCTCCCTTGGGCTGGTCCTGAATTCATTCTCTGATCCAGAAAGAAAGATTCTTGGGTAGAAATGAAGCTGGCATTGTGGGAAGGATGGGGTGGGGAACTGTGGGTAGCGGCAGCAGAGGGGGATGAAAAGCCATTCAGCAGCCAAGAGACTAGGTCAGGGGGACACCTGCCTCCACATCTCAGCCCGCCCCCAAACCCCACACCCAGAGTGAATCAGAAGGCCAGGTAGCTGGGAAGCTGAGACTCAACCCAGGTCTGCCTGACTCCAAAGTCTGCATCCTTTCCACTGTATATCCTGCTCCCAAGACCTGGATCCAAGCCTTGCTCTGCCACTAACTAGCTGTTTTGATTGTCATTAGGTGACCCGAAGTCTCTGAACATTGAGATTCCTCATTTGATGAGCAGGAATAATAGCCAAATGAACCTCGCCATAGCTGCTGTGCAACAAATATCAAAAGTGTAGATGTGGAAGCATTGTGTGCTGTTTGCTTTTCTATCCAGGTTCTCACATTAGGGATAATCATTGTTAGGGTCCAGGGTGTCACTTACCTTCCTCCCCTCTAGGGAGCTAACGAATGCAGTATATGCACAAAGAACAGTAACCAAATGGGAAAAGATGAACTACTTTACAGCATGGCGGTGCCAAGCTCTGGCAAAAGCCAGATAAGAGACTATGGCTAAGGCCAAATCCTGAAACAGAATCCTGGGACACAAATCATGCTTCCCATGGCCTACAGGGAGAGAGGAAAAGAGAAAGATGGCCTGGCATCCCAGTGCGCATGTCTGACCAATCACAGGGTGTGGGCTGTAGGCCTGTCTCAGTCTCCCAGGTGCAAAAAGGAACAGAGAAAACCAGGGTGGTCACATTTGGGTTTAGAAGGGTTCAGGTGTATGCAGGGGAGGAATAACTTTTCCTATACCCTCTTAAGTTCTGTGGCTAGGCCTGACAACTAAGTTGACATAGAGTAAGAAGATAAAACCATACAAATTTTATTTAATATTTTTATGCACACATGGGAGCCTTCATAGGAAAAACAAAGATCTGAAGAAGTGGTTAGGACCAAGAGTTTATGTACCTTTTTAAACAAAGATTAATAAATTTTTGAAGAAGTGATGAGACAAAGAAAAAGGATGTTAAACTTCTAAGAGTGGCAGTTTGTGGGAAAATGATGAGGAAGTATGTGGGGGGAAAATAATGGAAGAGAAGGATTATTTTAGTAGGTTTGTTTGTGCAGATCCATTTCAGCATTGACTTCTAGTCTCTGATGGTAAGAATATTCTCTATCTGATGGAGGAGCCAAGGGGTTGGCCCTCTGAAGTTTTCCTGAAAAATCAACTCACAAAAGGCAGATAATTTGGGGAAAAATATACAAATCTATGTAACATGTATACATGGGAGCCTGTAGAATGAAGATCCAAAGATGCGGGGAAAATTGTCCATTTTTATATTTAGGTTCAACAAAGTATGGACAGCCATGTAGAAATATGATTGGACAAAAAGGGTCTGATCTTATGCTAATAGATTGAGTATGGAAATCCAGCAAGGTCTGTCTGTCTAGATTCTTCTTGGCATCTCTGAGCATGCATTCCATCCTCCTGGGTATAGGACAGGCCTCTCTCTGGAATCAGAATCTTATGACCTACAGTTAAACAAAGTAGATTGGATAATTTCTTCATGCCAATTTTTACATAGAAAGGTAAAGGAAAATTAGAGTAATATTTTTAAGTTTTATTATTGGCTTTGGGGAAGAGGAGTTCTGGTTTCTGAGATACCCCTCGGGGAACAGGGATTCTCATTTTTATGGCTGGCCTCAGGAGAGAATGGGACTGAGAGAGAGAGGAGGGCAGGAGAAGGTCGGAGAAACACTTTCACTTCTGAGGCCTTCATTTTGCAATATTGCTTTCTAAGCCCCAACATGGGTACAAGGAGGGCACCTTTCTCATAGAAAATCTTATTGCCTGCTTTTAGGTAGAAAGGGAAGGTCAGCGAGCCCTTCCTGCATCTGCTGCTTCTTAAGTGCCTTCAGCTCAAAATATCTCATATGCCAAAGAGGCATATTTTGGGGTGGTATGTTTTGAATCCCCTCCTGTGCTTTGCCTGGGGACAAAAAGGAAACCCCCTGGCTTTCTGCAAAATAGGTGAGAAGGGACCTTGCTTTTGAAGGCCCAGGACTTGCCTCAATAGTAAGGGTGGCTACTGCCATGTTAGGCTTTGACCTATCAATTTCCTACCTGAGGTTTCTTATGGGAGGCAGGATGGTTCTTCTGGCTGCTCTTTTTCTCCCTGTCCTATATATAGGGCAAGGGACAGGCATGAGAACTTTTTGCCTCAGCAATATTTGACCCTGATTCAGAGAGCGTGGTGCTGAGGACCTCATCTCTCTTGAAAGTCAGAATCCTCAGCTCAACCTCAATGCAGGCCCAGGTGCTATTGGAAGTCTCTGCAGAATCACAGTTTCATTTGCCAGAGGTGTGGGAAGTAAGAAGGACAAGGGAGGTCATGAGGGAGGAAGTCAGGTCTGGGAATTCAGGTCTATCTGCCAAATAACCGATCAATTAGTGTTGCTCAAGTTGAAAGGCTGCCCTGTTGGACAACTTCCTTTGTCATCTCTTTTCAGTAGAAAGAAAATGAATATTGATCCCATTCTTGGCTCCATGCTCAGCCCCTTCAAATGAATATGATTGGGTTTTCCCAATGTAGTGGGTGACATTCGGACGTTTAGGGGCAATAGCATCTTCTCAGAACTCAGCCTTTGAAGTGGGGGCTGATTGAAGTGAGTCTGAGAGGATGTGGGGGTCACTACAGGTTAGAAAAAGGCAGCTTCAGGTCTCAGATGGTGTCAGACAGGTTTTCTGCATCCTCAAGGGGCAGACTTTGAACCTGAGTTACCTTAGAACTGGCTCAAAAATTAAGTTTGCAGAAGCTAAAAAATGGTTCCAATGAATTGTGGGAGACCAGAATATGCCACCCCAAAATATGCCTCTTTTGCATAAGGATTGTTGAGCTGAAGGCAATTAAGAGTAAGCAGCTGCAGGAAAGCTCTCTGCCCTCCCTCCATTTGCCTAAAAGCAGGACACAGATTTACAAAGACAAAAGGTATCCTGTCCCTACTTCTAACAAGAAGAACACAGGATAACCTCTGAAGACAACTTTAGATCCTCATTCCACCTGGAGATAGCACCAGAGGAATCTGCATTAACATGCTTTGCTAACTAACCTTTATCTGCCATTTATTTGCCTTTCCACAAGTGGCTGTCCCTAGAGACTTGAAGTCCTTTTTCTTTGTCTTCTCACATCTCTAAAAATTTACTGTTCTTTGTTGAAGATGCTATATAAGCTGGACTTCAAAGACACTTCTTGGACTTCAAGGACACCCACTCATTCTCTGGGTGTATCCCATGCATGTGTGAAATATATATGTTAATAAATGCCTTTTTGGTTTTCTTCCATTTATCTGTCTTTTGTTAGAGGTGGTCTGTTCCAATTAAGAACTTATGAGGGTTGAAGAAAAAATTAGTTTTCTTCCCCCACAGGATTCTTGGAAAAATGAACTATTACACTCAGCATGAGACCCAGAGGAGGTGAGGACTGCTGGGCAGGACCTCTTAAACTTCCTGGTAAAATGTTCCTTGTGGAGAATGAAAGGGTATCTCAAGAGTCCTGGGGTACAGTCTGAAGCTGCCAGCTATAAGCATAAATTCCTTTTAATCTCATGGACCACTGTAAAAATTCTTAAGAATTTTGCATTCTCCTATGTAAAGTTTTTATATAAATATGATGTTTTGAATCAGTTGTCAATTAGCAAAATTGATGTAGAGGAAAATGCACCACATTCATGTCATAGCTTTAGGAACTCCATGTCCTACCACCTGGCGTATGTTATTTTGAGAAGCATAGCCCATTAACAATAATATTCAGATGCATAGAACCCCTGATTCTAAGCTTTGTGGAGGTCACTACTGCAGCATGATTGCTTTCTGCCTGGGTCATCCTCTGCCGGGGGGTGAGAAAGGAATCTGTGTCCTGCTAAGTCTCAAACGTTTCTGAATTCTGGAAAGTTGTCTCCTTGGGTATTCCGGAGGCATTGCATCTGGTGCTCCATGTCCTATCAGGGACATCCCTCTTCCAGCCCATACAGATGGGATCATATGCACTGAGGGGGCCCAGAGATGGTGGGTTCACAGTGGGTTTCAATGATGTGGCCTCCTCTCTGCTAAGCCATGAATGTCACCCATGTACACCAGCAAGCCAGTGGCTATGGATGAGGTACAAGAAGTAGGAGAATGTGGGGCTCATGAAAATATATTATCTTTCATTTTGAAAATTGTTTCCCTTGCGCATCTAAATGGACATTTATTATGCGTTTCCATAGTTACAAGTAGAAAATGGTAGGGGGAGAAATGAGTGGAAAGTAATTGAAAATGCTGACTTCGATATCGAAAATTACATGTGGATATGTGCTCCCCTGCTGCCTTTCCCCCACTTCCCCCAACTCCCACCACACACACTTAGGGAGTAAGGAAGATGGGGAGGGAGAGACAGGGGAAAAAAGGGGCGAGAAAAAGAGAGAGAGAGAGAGAGAGAGAGACCCACCTAGGGCGCTAGGGTAAGAGTAAAGACAAAGGAGATCAGCTTTGAGACACCAGCCTCCTCTTCAGTATCCACAGATTACTAAAAATGCTGCAACTGTTGTTCAAAATATGCTCTGGATCCTTGTGGCAGCAAAATGGCTGGGTCTGCATCCTTCTTAAAATCTGTTGTCCAGGAGGAAGTGGGGAGAATGTACTCTCTAGATTCATCAGGCTGAACCATGGTTGAGGGGCTCAGAGGCTCCCAGGATCCAGGGATGAAGACCCAAGTTTCTTGAGATTAGGAGGCCAGCCTGTCTGCCTGCGGCACAGCCAATTCTCAGGGCACACTTGCTTTGTGAGGCTCTCATCACTGGGAAGTAATTTCCGCTCTCCCCGTCATCACAAGTCCTGCCTAGCTTGCTGGGAATGCAGTGCCTCTGCTGGGCTCCTGTGCAGATAGCATTTAATTTCCATTGCATTGAGCTGAGGAATCTGGCATAATAAGGTATAGATCTGTTTGACCTGCACTGCAGGGAGTCAGTGGTAGAAGAAGGATTCTGGTTGGAGGTAGACTGGTCACCAGGACAGTAACCCTGCCCTGAAGCTCTGAAGCCAATCACAGATGTGTGGGGAGGCCTTTATCCCCTCCTCAGGCTCCCACCCTGCATCTTTCCCAGGTGTGATAGGCAGTGTGACATAGTGAGAAGAATGCAGGATTTGGTCTCAGATGGCCTGTCTGAAATTCACACAGAGGCAAGTGACAGCCTTGTACCTCATAGGATTGTTGAGAGAAATAATTGCACACATACTTGAATCCTTTGGGGCCGTGTCCAGATAGTGCCAAGACAAGGAACTGGAGGAAGAGTTAGAGACAGAAGCTCAATTCCTGGTTGTGTTCTATTTTTTCCCCATGTGTCGGTTTCCTCCAGATCCTGACCGAAGGGCTGTGTCCCCAGGAGAGCTGGCAAGAACATAGACCCTGCCCTGTGAAACTGTTCTGGGTTCTGTGTTCTATGTCCCTCTCTCCCTAGAGAGAACTGGGGGTCCTCCATCCCCAGAATCCTGCACATACTTCTATTTTGCTCGTATCATTCTGATTGCAATGTCTTGTTTCCTTTTCTTTTCCTACCAAAATGTTGAACTCCATCAGGGCAACGCCTGTGTCTTACTAAGTAGTTGAAAACAACAGGAAATCAATGAATGTTTGGTAAGTGAAGGAATGAGTAAGGCAGTGAAGTAGGCTCTACTGATCTGGGAACACGATGGTTCAGTTTTGACTTTTGGGGCATTCGGTTGTTCCAACATCTGCCCGGCTTTTCCTCCATAAGGAAGAATGTGAATCTGACAAGTTCATACATGCTAAACAATAGGAAATCCATGAGCATTATTAGAGTGATTTTTATGTTTCTATAGAGTTTTTTACATTTTCACATTCATGATTTCATTTGATCCTTATTAATAATTTAGCAAAAAAGACACGAGAAAGCTGAGGTTCGGCGAAAAGTCAGGGGACTTATCCAAGACTATGTAGGTAACTGATGATGGACCCAGTATTAGAATTCTAACTTTTGAGTTCTGTCCAGATGCTCTTGAGAGGAATCTGCAATGCAGTTTACAAAACAACACTTTTAAGAGGCCATGGGGAAAAATCCACCAGGTGTGCAGGTGTACAGCCACTTTGCTCACTTATTTTTCATGAATAACTTCTGCATAACTTCCTTGGCCATGCGCTATGATAAGGACAGAGAATGTAGAGAAGAGTATGAGGGTCTACTAGGGGAGGCAGAGTCATAGGTTGAAGTTAAAAGATTGGAGCTCTAAGTGAAGTCTAACAGCAGCATGGTGGGAGTGAAAGGGAAGAAAATTGGTATATTGGAATGTGCATTTCCAGAGCTGGAAGAGTTATATGATAATGGGGCCCAGAATATGGCCATAGGAGGATTGGTTGTTGCTAATGTGGATACATGTTGTTGGAGTTGCTGATGTCAAAGAATACCGAGGTTAGGTCTCAAAATAGTTTGCATAGATATGAAATGTGATGATAGAAGCTGAGGAGCAAAATAAATTTTGGAGCCAGCTAATAAAATCCAGAATGAGTGAGAGGAATGAAAACTAAGCTGGAGGGTAATGGTGACAAAGATGAGTGAAAGAGTTAAAGGATGGTGAACTCAGCTCACATAACTTCCAAACAAAGAGATCTTTCTGCAAGAGGGTATGAAAGAAGGGTTGGAAGGAAGTCACTGGATTTTAATCTGGTGTTATAGAATGTTTGTATCCCCCTCACATTCTTATGTTGAAGCCTTAAGCCCATATGTGAAGATACTAGGCGATGCAACCTTTGAAAAGTAATTAGGTTCAAATAAGGTCATTTGAGGGTGGGACCCTGCGATAGGATTAATGTCCTCATAAGAAGAGGAAGAGAGGCCAGATCTTCCTCCTCCTCCAAGTCCAGCACCAAGGAAAGCCCACATGAGCACACAGTGATTTGCAGTCCAGGAAGAGGGCCCCCACCAGACACCAAATCTGCTGGCAACTTGCTCCTGGAATTCTCAATCTCTAGAACTGTCAGAAATAAATGTGTAAGCCATCTAGTCTATGGTAATTTTTTATAGCAGCCTGAGCTAAGACAATTGGTAAATGTAGATTGTTATATTTATTCAGGGTTGGCTAAGGAAATCATGAAGGCTTAACAAAATACTTAAGTTTATTTCTCACTCCCATTACCCATCCCAGGCTGGTCAGGAGAGGAGGAGGGTGCTCTGCTCCATGTAGCCATCAAATAACCTAAGTTGATAAAAGTCCTCACATCTTGTACTGTATCATCTGAAATATGAGACTTCTACGATCACTATTGCAGGGGAAGAGATGCTGGAGGGTCCTGCACTCATTCTTAAATGTATTGCATTTCTCTACTCACACTCCATTGACCTGTACCACTCAATGACCACTCAATGACTTTACTCAAAGGGGTTTAGGGAGGTGGAGGAGCATAGAAATATTTGAACAGTAAATGTCTTTGCAATCCTGGTAACAGACTCCACAGGCTTGTTTGGCTCATTCATTCAGTAAATACCTGAATGCCCCTTTGTGTCAAACAATGTGCCAGGTGCATAGGACACAGCAATGACTAAGAAGGCGTTGTGGTTCCTGCTCTTGGGAGGCTTTTTGCCAATCTTTGACATCTTCTTGTTCTCCTGGCTTCAGACCCTGAGCCTTTTTTGCTTGCCACCTTCCAGTTTAGACTCTCGGCTCCTGTAAGACTGCCTGTCTCCAACTCTAGACTCTGCTTCTTAGAGCAAATCTCTGCTAGGCTACCACATTTCATTGGGTAGAATGGGTGTAATCCTGGTGCTATGAACCATGTCTTTTTTGGTTTTTCAGCTGCAGGAATGTAGGAATAAGTATTTCAGGGCCATTGGGTTTCTATTGATGAAGAAGGGAACTTAGACACTCTCCAGGCAGACATGTCCCAGCATACCGACCAGGGTAGGAACTTCTCCCATCCCACCCAGACGCTTGGTTTGGAGTGGTGGGTGGGGTCTGGTGAGCTAGTAGTGGCTAAGTTTCAGGCCTACTGCCTCCAGGAACATAACACTATTCTGTAGGCCATAATTGAAAATCTATTAACTCTGGAAACCAGTATTGCACATAAACCTCCACAACCCTGGCCATCCTGCAGTGAGCACTCCCTCCCTGTTATTCCTATAAATCACCGGAGATAGGCTGGGAACCAATCGATGAGAAAAAATTATGCCACAGCATTAGATTTCATCATATACAACTTGAACTATTACTTTTCTGTCCTGTGGTATGAGGAATCATGAGAATTAATGGTCTTCCTCTTCCCCAACGATGGGTTTTATGACTCAGCATTACCTATACTCTATTTCTTCCTTAAAAC